TTTCATTTTTAGTTTGTTTATTTATCTCTTAGTAATATGGATAATTTTTACGTCATAGTAAACGTGTTGTTTTCATTCTCCTTTTATAAACCTGTTTTTTTCTTTTTCTCATTCTTTATTTTATTTTTATTCGCAATCTCGTCAGTCTCGCAAATTGTTATTGGCACCTTCTGGAACTTCTGGTGGTCTATCGATACGATTCTGCTGTCTCGAGGAGCTCTTTTACTTCAAATGGCAATGGCTGTCTTTCTCTTTCAGTCGCAAATCTTCTTCTCTCCAGTCGTCCGCATCAGCTTGTCCTCCCAACTTGGCTGACTGAACGCCTCCTTGATTCTTCTTCAACTACAATCACTTCTACCGACCCATTATCTAATCTTGGATACAATTTACTCCCTGCCTCTGCATTTCGGAGTCGAGCTGTGTCTCTATTAAGCCTCTACATTAATCATGATAGAGTTATGCAGGCCTATCGATTGGCCATGGAAATGATTAATAGTGCAATTGGTAGTTATGATTCGAATACATTCGCTATTGGTATTCGTTCTGCTTCAGGAAATCAGGTAAGAGTCCTTTAGTTAGTAGTTAGTCTAAATAAAACTCTGATGCTTCTTACTCATTTTTTCTTCATTATTGACGACTAATTGTTTGAAAAGTTATAATATGATTTGGGTTGAACGCAAACAGACTGTAGTGATGGTCTGACCTAGTTTTCCTTATTTAGTTAGAGTTACAGAGAGGCCTTATGGAACTCTGTCCTATGTCACAGTATTTATGATGATTTCTAGCATATGACTAGTGCCTTAGCAAATGTGCCAAGTCAACATTACAATGCCTGAAATCACCATTAATACTATTGTAGAAGACAGGACTAGATTCGCCACAAAATGTATCCGTGTTGATCCGTCTAATTTTTTAAAGTAAGGTTAAATCAACACTAGAGTCTAAATAAACGACAGCTTAAGGACACCATTTTGGCATTTCCATCTACGAAAAGATTATAGAATATCTTGCATTTTAAAGTGCATGAATAAATTTATTATCATTTTTCTGAA